ATACACTGAGAAAAGTGGTGTTAAAAAAAGTATTATAAGTATACTAAAAATTACTATATTTTTCAGGAAAGCTTCGACATACGCACCTGATGACGCAAATTATTACGTTTAAAATAATTTTTATTATGTTTTAAACAATTTTTATTATGTAATAGCTCTACAAAAATTATTCCACAGTATAATAAAAACTACTATGTCTAACATAGTAAGAATTGTATAGTAAAAATAGTATAATTTTTGCTATAAAACATAGTAAATTTTATTTTAATCGTTGTAAAATGTCCCACATTCAGAAGTAGAATTTGTTATGTGACATAGTAAAATTTCTCATTCCACTGAATTGCTATTCAGTATAGTAAAAATTACTATTTTCTAAAGTAATGTTGTATGATTTCTATAGGTATACACACCTATTGAGTGGTTCAAATTTGAGGTTATACGAATGTAAATATTTAAAAAATCAAATTTTTTGATTTATAAGGTTAAAAAATTGATACGTGCAGACAATCAATATTGAATCGACTAATTATCCGTTGTCAACAATGTGGTCCACAGAAAACCTTTTGATTTTTTAACTTTATTGTGTGTATGATAAACAGTAAACGTTCCCACATGTACTTCCATATCCATACGCGCGTGGAGTTAATGTTCCGTGGTCTAGTGGTTGCGGAGCTTGATTCGGAAGCCGAAGGATGAAGGTTCAAATCCCAGTCGCTGCAGATCTTTGGTAAAATAATAAATTTGTATATTACATCACTATCAATTTGTATATTCTGTGAAAAAATATCTATGTGTAAGGTAAAAGCACCAGTACGGGAACACTTTTTCCATAAAGTCTTTGTTCTCTCATTTTTATTGAATTTCTGATTTGCATAACAACGAAACAGTCATTGTGCCAGTAAGTTTATATTTTTTCCTTTAAAAAAAAAACAAAAAAGTTTTTCTAGGTCATGTGTACAATTAATAAATTAATTTTAAAGTTTTTTTATCAATGAGCTAGTAGATGAAAAACGTGTTCAGGTATTGGTACCGATACGTATTTTTGACCGAGTACTTGAACATCCCATGTTAAATAAATGGGAGAGAGGTTATGTTAGCTGCCTTCTACTGATTTCTATTTTTGTTATGTATTGCAAATAACCAAATCGAAAAATTTCTTTCTAATTTCATTGGTAACATATTATGAAAACTATAACGACTGGCTTGACAGACTATTATTATTGATTAACAATGATTTCAATCGTTTTTATGTGTTCGAGTACTGGGCATAGGTAAAACCTAATGGTACCAGTACCTGAACAGTCTCACAAGCCACCTCATACAAGTTGCACGAATAAATGATTTTTTTCTCGTTGAGTATAAAGACTTACTAAAATATAAATTTTGTTTTATCTAAAGAACGATCAAAGGATATCAGAAAAAATTTTTTTTATCCACTTAAATTGAAAATAGTTTATTCAAGCTGTTCAATCTACTGGTGCAATTTTAGGAAGTGTTCACGTACTGGTACTTTTACCTTATAAATATATATTTCAATTTCCTGATAGTTACATGTACAGTCCCTGTGTATACATATAATAAATGTATATATTTTTCTTATTTCTGAACAAAGCAAAAATTACTATGTTGAATAGCAAATTCTAGTATGATCTGGTTTTACTATGTAGCATAGCAATTTTTATAATATGACGAGTATGTCTCAGCTTTCCTATACAATATAATAATTTTTATTATAGTTGTAACACTTTTTCTAACACCACTTTTCTCAGTGTACTTTTAACATTACAGTCTTTCTACCACTATGTCTTAGAATTATAATACCCTTTTTTTTGAATAAACATCTATTACTTTTTACAAAATCTACGTGACTGTTTTTATTTTTGTCCTCCTACAGCTCTATATTAAGGTCTTTTGTTGTCAACTTACAACGAGTTTCTATTGTAGATTAAGTCCATGTACTTGTTTTGGTCTTGATGAATGTCTCTGTTGCTAAACATACTGCTACGTAAGTATTTATATTTGTAACTATTTCTTTCTTACAGAGTTATTTCAACTCGATCGGTAATTTTGAATGTCTGGATTTTTTTAAAAACGTTTCACTTTCTTTCCGTATGTCAGGTTTTTCAAGTTATTTTATTTGTGTTTTTATTTTTAAGACCTTATAACTATATATGTAACTGTTATTTACTCTTAATTTCTTTATATATCTTCGAAAATCCATATTTTTCTATTTTTGTTCAATATTGTTTAACTCACGGATTATGGTTTTTGGTTTCTCCTCTAAATTTAGTGTTTCACTATTTTTGAACGACAGTTTGATTATTTCTGTCTCTGTTTTTAACCTGATGATCTCTTTATCTAAATATATAATCTTGACTTTGTAATTCTGCTTCCACGTCTTTTTATTTCGTCTTTCTCTCTCTTTCTCTCTCCGTAAATGTTTTGTATTGTACGTCGTAAAAGTTTTGTTACTGCATTATATAACCTTATATAGTCTCTCTGACGATTTCTCTTGTATTATTCGTTATTGTTTTTTGAATCTAATTTTGTGCCTGATCTATTCAATGCACATATATCGTACTTACCTAAGGCACGTACCAAACTTATCCTCGAGTTATCATCCGATGATGAAGAACCAACTATAAAGCTTGGAAAAAAATTCGAAACAAACGAAAACTTTCATTTTTATTAAATATTTTAACTAATAACAAGTGGCTATGTAAAAGGCTAAGCTTTTAAATGCTAGGCACGACTGATAAATTCATCGTCAGAGGAAAAAAAGTAGCTTCAACACAAATTTTAACAATTAGATTAGATTACAAAAAAGTACTTACAAATCATGTTATAAGTTTATCTCTTAATGATCTACCACTTCTCGATTCCAAAATATAGTTTTAAATGTCAACTTTGTATTAAAATAGGCAAAAATAACTTTTTTGTTATTTTGTATTAACTTTTACCTTCCAGGCCATAAAGACCTTAGATAAAAATGCATTACACAAGAAAGTTTTGAGATCTATAAATTTTTTCGACCACTTAAACGTGTTAAATTTAAGCTGTCAAAGTTATAGTCAAGGTTTTCATAAATTTTTAAACCATAAAGAAAGTTTTTCCGCTTTTTTAAGTTGGCTTTTTGGCCATAAGGACACTTAACATTATTTTTTGGTCCCACAAAAAAGGTTAAAAATTTTGTTTCATTGAAGTCTACATTTTTTCTCTACTGGATATGGACCTAAAATGTCACACTTAATGTTGCATGCAAAAATACTGGTTTTCAATGGCTAAAGTTCAAATATATTGAAGCTGGTAAATTTTATTCCTTTAACAAAATTAGCCGTATTTCTAACTGTCAAGTTATTTATAACATTTGTAAATTGGATGAAAACTTTTAAAGACGGCTGTTTTATATATATTTTCCACAAATTGTATGTACATTGCTATGATCACTCTTGTATCGAGTTCAAAATTTATTTCATACCGGAAGTAGACGATTTAGATATGCTTACTCTGTTACTTTGATAAAAATGTAAGGTTTCGGTGAATTAGTCGTGCCTAAAACTATTAATAGAATATTTTGATTCTATCAAAAACCATAAATTTTTTACTTCAGTGATTAATCATGTATTGCTTACAATTTTTTTCATGCAAATAGTTCAGCATTGTGATTGAATAATATTAATATTTTTGATTCAGTCGTGGAGGTCAATGAGGCTATGATCTTTTAACTGCAATCTGCAAAGCTTTGAACAAAACTATTTAAAATTGTGCAGCATACACATATAATAAATTTCATAAGATTTTGATACTGATACTTGAAAAAAAATGCTAGCTTATAAATATATTGATTGGGAACAGTATGTTATATACGAGTTTGCAAAGGCTTTGATTTACGAACGGAGAGGTTTACAGCACGAGCCGAAGGCGAGGACCGTAACGACGTTTCTAAAGAAGCCTTTTCGAACGAGTTATGTATACAATTTTTCCGACCAAGAACCCAAAATCAAGCGGCTAAGGTGCTATTTTGAGGTTATAAGGCGGAAATAGTAGTTTTTCTACGAGTTTGAAAAGTCTCTGTTTGCCAACCGCGAGGTTTGCGGCCCGAGCCGAAGGCGAGGGACGTAACGAGGTTCGTAAAGGAGACTTTTCGAACGAGTTCCGGAAAACAGCTTTTTCGCCCGAGGAAGTACCAGCTTCCCAAAACCACTCGAGGGCGGAAAAATACTTTTTTATATAGAAGAAAAAAAAGAAAATAATTCAAGGATACATTGAAACTTTTTTTTGACTATAAATCAAATGATTGAATTAACAAAAAACAAAAATTTTGAATTAGTGCCTTCTTTATAATAAGTTAGAATGTCATAATAATATATTCTAAATTATTTGAGATACGTATTTCTATTTCCCAACGAAATTGGACATTTTTTTGAGTCGTCGATATATTAGAGTCTGTTTGGAAAGTAATGCTTTTTAAATTGATTGTCACTCAAATACATTTTTTTCGAATTTATTGAAGTTTCAAAAAATCACAAGTTTCACATAATCATGTTCATGATTGTTTCATGTTGCAGATTACGTTTACGGAGTGGACATCGACTTACAAGCTCGTGCACGGGCAGCAATCGAAGCTGAAAGGTTTACCCTGCAATCAAACAATCGGTAAGTTTTTTTTCCTTCTCTTCACAACCATAACTCTCATCAGCTTCCTTCAAATTTAGTTTTTTGTAAAAAATTCTCAACTCCTCTCAACTCGTACTTCCGCAGTAAAGGTATACACCCATACATACGCACTTGGACGCAATCAGTTGGTAAAAATTTACTTTCACCTTTTCCGACGCTGTTCTTGATCCTAATGATCCTTTCAAACACTCTCGGCAATTTTTCCAGATCATACAATGCTTTTGTGCGATTCAACGCTTCAATCCAGTCTCGCGTGAACTGAAACAATGAGCGGTAAAACGAAATCAAGAGCTCCTACTCTATTAAATTTCGACGTGATATAAAGATAATTGAAAAAAATATTGTGTCATTAACGCCGTTAAGTGGTTTTACTTGAAAACAAAACCCAGTGTTCATTTGTGTACTGGAATCATAATAAAAATAACATATTTGAAGACATCTGCTTTTTTGGAACTCGTAAATTATCTGTTGTTACATCTCTCTCGAGACAATTTCCACAACCCACAATCCAAGAACTTTATAAAACTGTAATATGTTAGATTATATTATGAATCGAAAAGATTAATTGTCACGTACCTTAAGCCTTTGTTAAAGGAATTATTACGGTAGATTGTGATAATTTTTAAAATAAAATAAGTTTACAATGTGAAAATCATTTGATTTTCATATTCAAAGAAACAAGTTGACAAACAGTTATATTTGATAAAAGTTAATATTAAATATATTTGTAAGCAATGAATACTTTTGTTACGTAATTTTTAAGCGCATGCTTTCCTCGGGTTGATCATAATTTTTTTTCAATCAACAAAATTTTTAAGCTCATGCACTTTATGCCACCCCTGCATTTTCACTACCAATTGATACAAATTTCGATAACAACACGAAATCTCTGAAGTAAGTTTGAAGAAAAAGAAAAAAAAAAAAAAAAAAAAAAATAAAAAAAAAAAAAAAAAAA